CAGGTGTCTTTGAAAACGCTGCCATGTGTTACAGTTCTATATTCCTTTCCGGGTTCGTGGGTCGATCATGTTTTTTCCCGGAAAGGGCGCGGGCCCAGGGTTCTCTTTTAGTAGGTTAACCCCCCGGCCCCCCTGCGACTTGGGCCGGCGAAATTATTCTGCGATAAATTACCGGCCGAATTTTTTTTGAGGATGTCTCGAGCGAAACGCTTGTTTATCAGAATTTGTTGAGGATGTCTCGAGCGAAACGCTGGTTTTGCAGAGTTGGGGATGTCTCGAGCGAAACGCTTGGTTTCAGAATTTGTTGAGGATGTCTCAAGCGAAACGCTGGTTTTGCAGAGCCGACCGCGACACGGAAAAGCGCTCCTCGCGCAGGAATTCCGAGGATGTCTCGCGCGTGCCGCGTCCCGCACGCAGGAATTTTGATTTCTTTGGGTTTTGACAGGATTTCTCAAGCGAAACGCTTGTTTTTCATAATTTGTTGAGGATGTCTCGAGCGAAACGCTGGTTTTGTAAAATTGGGGGATGTCTCGAGCGGGGGCCTCGTGGGGGGCCAGAATTCAGAGGATGTCTCAGGCGCAATGCTTGTTTTCGTGTCCCGCTCGCAGGAATTCCGAGGATGTCTCGCGCGTGCCGCGTCCCGCGCGTAGGAATTCGGATGATTTTGATAGGATGTCTCGAGCGAAACGCTTGTCCCCAGCACGTTCAGTAGCGCGTCCCCTTGGCACGTCCCGCGGTGCGACCCCATGGCACGTCCCCTGGCACGTCGCCTGGCGCATCCCTTGGGACGTTTCGCGGCGCGTCCTCCTGGCATGTTCCCCTTGTCAATTAGCTCTGGGGCAGCTACTATGTGTTCAGGCAGCTCGAGCTTAAGATCCAGATCAGTTCGGTCAGGACTCGGATGCAAAGGAGGACTCGATCCACGACGCTATAGAGCACAACCGCGGCATGGCACATCGCAATTCAGCACGGTGCAGCACAGCACAGCCCTCGGCAGGGTACATCAAGATCGATACACTCAGCATTGCAACTTGGCACGTTCCTTGGCACGTTCCGTGGGGCGTCCCTTGGCGAGTCCCCCTGGCACGTCGCGTGGCGCGTCCCCTGGCACATTCCGTGGCACATCCATTGGCACGTTCCGTAGCGCGTCCCTTTGGCACGTCCTACGGTGCGACCCCATGGCGCGTCCCCTGGCACGTCGCCTGGCGCATCCCTTGGGACGTTTCGCGGCGCGTCCTCCTGGCATGTTCCCCTGTCCATTAGCTCTGGGGCAGCTACTATGTGTTCAGGCAGCTCGAGCTTAAGATCCAGATCAGTTCGGTCAGGACTCGGATGCAAAGGAGGACTCGATCCACGACGCTATAGAGCGCAGTCGCGCCATGGCACATCGCAATTCAGCACGGCGCAGCACAGCACAGCCCTTGGCAGGGTACATCAAGATCGATACACTCAGCATTGCATTTGCCCGTCACCCAATCAGGTGTCTTTGAAAACGCTGCCATGTGTTACAGTTCTGTATTCCTTTCCGGGTTCGTGGGTCGATCATGTTAGTAGGTGAACCTGTCCCCGGTGCCATGCGGGAGGTGGGCCGGCGGAATTATTTCCTGATAATTTTCGATGTCGAGGTGGGCCGGCGGAATCAATTGGGAGGATGTCTCGAGCGAAACGCTTGTTTATCATAATTTGTTGAGGACGTCTCGAGCGAAACGCTGGTTTTGCAGAGTTGGGGATGTCTCGAGCGAAACACTTGTTTTCAGAATCTGTTGAGGATTTCTGCAGCGAAATGCTGGTTTTGAAGAGCCGACCGCGACGCGGAAAAGCGCCCCGCGCACAAGAATTCCGAGGATGTCTCGCGCGTGCCGCGTCCCGCGCGCAGGAATTTCAAGGATGTCTCGACTAATTCGTTTGTTCTTTTAAAGATTTAGCGTGAAAATGTTGAGTTTTTTGCGTGCCCGCTCGAGGATGGTGCGCCCCCCGCGCCAAAAATCGAGGATGTCTCGAGCGAAACACTTGTTTGGCAAAACTTGAGGGGCCTGGGTGCCCCAGCATGCCCCAGGAGGCCCTGGGAGCGCGGACGCGGCGTAATTTACGAGGGATCGTAGCCCTTGGAGCTCGGACCACGCGTAATTTGCAAGGGATCGTGGCCCTCGGAGCGCGGGCGCAGCGTAATTTACGAGGGGTCGGGGCCTTGGGAGCTCGGACGCAATGTAATTTACAAGGGATCGTAGCCCTTGGAGCGCGGGCACAGCGTAGAATATGATGGATCGGGGCCCTGGGGGCTCGGACGCAGCGTGATTTACGATGGATCGTGGCCCTGGGAGCGCGGACGTAGCGTAATTTACAAGGGGTCGGGGCCCTGGGAGCGCGACCCCAATGTAATTTACGAAGGATCGTGGCCCTGGGAGCGCGTCCCGTGGCATGTCCATTGGCACGTTCCGTAGCGCGTCCCCTTGGCACGTCCCGCGGTGCGTTCCCACGGCACGTTCCCTGGGGCGTCGCCTGGCGTGTCCCTTGGGACGGTCCGCGGCGCGTCCTCCTGGCATGTTCCCTTGTCAACTAGCTATGGGGTAGCTACTATGTGCTCAGGCAGCTCGAGCTTAAGATCCAGATCAGTTCGGTCAGGACTCGGATGCAAAGGAAGACTCGATCCACGACGCTATAGAGCACAACCGCGGCATGGCACATCGCAATTCAGCACGGCGCAGCACAGCAAAGCTCTCGGCACGGTACATCAAGATCGATACATTCAGCGTTGCAACCTGTCACGTTCCCTGGCATGTTCCGTGGCGCGTCCCGTGGCGAGTCCCCCTGGCACGTCGCGCGGCGCGTCCCCTGGCACGTCCCGTGGCACGTCCATTGGCACGTTCCGTAGCGCGTCCCCTTGGCACCTCTGCGGTGCGTCCCCATGGCGCGTCCCCTGGCACGTCGCCTGGCGCGTCCCTTGGGACGTTCCGCGGCGTGTCCTCCTAGCATGTATCTTTGCCAATCAGCTCTAGGGCAACTACTACACGCTGAGGCAGCTCGAGCTTACGACCCATATCAGATCGGTCAGGACTCGGATGCAAAGGAGGACTCGATCCACAACGCTATAGGCCACAATCGCGGCATGGCACATCGCAGTTCAGCACGGCGCAGCACAGCACAGCCCTCGGCACGGTACATCAAGATCGATACACTCACCATTGCAATTGTCCGTCGCCTAATCAGGTGTCTTTGAAACGTTGCCATGTCTTACAATTCTATATTCCTTTCCAAGTTCGTGGGTCGATCATGTTTGATTATATTGTGGCTTCCTCTGTTCCTTTTGCTTTGCAAGCCTCCTTACTACGATCGGAAGGGTTCTCGATGGGAAGGAGTGCATACTGGGGAGGGGGCTGGCGGGACTTCTTGTATTATTCGCCTCACCATACGCTGGCTGCCTACACACCCTAGTGGTTGATATACCCACTGGGACACAACTGCTGAACAATGTGCAAGCTAGCCTTTTACTGCTTTGCTGTTTTCACCGCCGCACGCATATGTTGTCCTCTCTAGCTCGGTGCTTCCTCTTGGGTTCGGGTCTAGAAATGATGGATTGTCTCTCCCCCCGCCACCTTTCTGTCTGGCAGGCGCAAACTCTCTCTTCACCTTCGCCTCCTTCCCCTTCTTGATCCGGTACGCCTGCCCGGCCTACTCGGTTGGCCTCGAGACCGGAGTCGGCATGTTGACGCATTTTCTCCTGGCCCACCAAGCGCTACAGCATTCTGGCTTAAGCCCGCGGTGCGTCAATAAAGGAGGAGGAAGAGGAGGAGGAGGAGGAGGAGGAGGAGGAGGAGGAGGAGGAGGAGGAGGAGGAGGAGGAGGGGGAGGAGGAGGAGGTGGAGCGTGCCCAAAGAGGTCCCTTCTGTCCGCCGATTCTCGAAGAATCCGCCACCCGTACAGCAGGTAGTGAGCGAAAGCGGAGCACAATAGATAAACCGCATAGTACACTATGGAGCCGAAGGAATAGAAGACGAGCCGGAACACTAAGAGGATAACCTGCAGAAAAACGTGACCAAGAAAATGGAAAAGACGAGGAAGAGGTACGTGTTAAGGAAGCCGGCCGGCTCTGGCGAGTAGACGCGATACCACATACCAGATCCGACACAGCACAAACGCTGAACCAGAACAACCAGGGCACCCGCAGCCACGATGAACGACTTAGTCAATATCTGGCTCGGGTACCTCAAAATCGGAGTCAACGAAAAGATCAGCAAGCATTTGGCCATGCATCTCCTCTACCTGCAGCATAGTCGCAATGAAATTAAACTTCGAATGGTCGATGGGGGTGGCCACCGCTTCTATTCTCTACGGCTGTGAAGCCGCAGTAGGAGTCGCACAGGGCACCTCCCTTACAACACCCTGCGGTCGTGAAGCTGACGCAGCAGAGGTCGTGTCCAGAGGGCGCTTCAGATCTGCGTCCATGCGAACCTGGTGCCCTTCTGGATGGCGAAATGCACAATCCTTACGATAACACTGGCTGCCATATTTGCCGAACCGCAACGCCTCGACCGAACTAGGCGAGCGACCACGAGACACCTCTCTCTCATCACGACCCGCAGACGAGCGTCCACGAGCCATCGGTGATGGGGTGGAAAGGGTCTCCAAAGCAGCGAGCCGAGTACCAGGGCACCGAACTTGTCAGCAATAGAGATTGCAAGCTGTTCAAGTTGGGGCTCCAAGCTTTTAGCCACTGTCGAGGAAATAGATGACTCCACAAGTGTAGACACAATACTCGGCAACACTTTCGCGAAGCTCTCGAGGCCTGCTCGCACCACGCGCTCAGTGTAGTCTCTCGCCTTCTGACCAAGGTCGTTGAGCTGATCAGCAACAAAAGATTTGACATCCACAAGTTTAGCCTCCAGGGCAGAGCTGCCCTCTTCCTCAGAGCTGCTGCTGCCAGAGGCAGACGAAGACGCGGAAGGGGGGCCCACAGCCTCCTCATCGGCGCTGCCAGAGCGCTCCTGAATCACCACTGAAGCCTAGCCTGCATCAGCACAAACAGAGGATGATGGCAACTGGTCGAGCTTGCCTTTGAGCATCGCTATCGTGTTGTTCATGTCTTCGGCTAGTGCATTGTGAGATGGAAACTGTATGTCGCACGTGGTCTGAGAGTTCTGAAGAAACTCCGGAACAGAGATCATCGGAAGCGGGGGTGCAACGCCCGGCGTAAAGACAGGCGCCTGTGAGCTGAACGTGAACTCAGTCGCCCTCTGCCCAAGCTTGGAAGCAACACGAGGAGCAAATACAGACGAGACAAGCTCAGCTCTTCCAGGATACGCTTGCTGCAGTTGAACCTCAGCATCAGGAAGAAATTGCTCAGCCCATGGAGCAGTGAAATGTCGCAACACCAGCCCAATCGCCACTTGGCGGATCCGCCGTCGGGATGCGGTCGTCAGGGCCGCCCGCTGTCCATGAGCAGCCATCTGCAATCCCGTATAATGCTGGTTGGAATGCTTCGCAAGAAGCCGAAGAAGACGGCCATTGAAACAAGAAGGAGACGCATGATCATTTTCCATCACAAAAGAATGCGGGAACAAACAAGCATGAACAACACCACAGAACTAGCCGTCTTGCGCCACAATGGCTACGGAGGAGGAGGAGGCGGAGGAGCAGGAGGAGGAAGAGCAGAAACGCTGGGATCTGGAAGCGGGGCCCCGCCCGCGGCTCCCCGCGCGCCCCGCTGACAGCACTCTGGCCCGAGCCCGCGCTGCGCCCATCGAGGGAGGAGGGAGGAGCAGAACACGCCGGGATCTGCGCCAGGGCCCCCCGTCCCTTGCTCCCCGCGCGCCCCTCCACGCGCTGGCCGTCCACGAAGACCTGGGGCACGGTGACCTCGGCCGAGAGGGCTCCGCGGCGCCGCCCCCCCCCCCCCCCCCGGGGCGGACGTCGGCTCGAGGGCCAGAGAGGGCGCCGCCCGCCGCCCTCCCCTCCAGGGGGACGCCGAGGGGGCGAGGGGGAGCCCCGCGTGCGTGTCCCTTCCCCGCACAGCTTGCGGAAGGGGGCGCTGCTGTGACGGCAGCCAGTTCCAGCCGAGGGAGGGGGGAGCAGAGGCACCCTGGGCCAACATCTGGTGGTCCGGGCCGTTTCGTCCGAGACACCCTCGTAACTCTCGCTTCTGAGGTGTCCGGGGTTGGCCGATTCTCCTGAGACATCATCGAACATCTGGGCTCTGGGACGCCGCGCGCGAGGTGGTCCGGCGCGTTTCGCCTGAGACATCTTCACATCTCTGCTGCCCGAGCTGCCGCGCGAGAGGTGGTCTGGCGCGTTTCGCTTGAGACATCCTCCCAATTCTGAGCTCCGAGCTGCCGCGCGCGAGATGGTTCAATTTGTTGCTTGAGACATCCTCGCAACTCTGATCTCCGAGCTGCTGCGCGAGAGGGGGTTCAGCGCGTTTCGCCTGAGACGTCCTCGTGCCCCTGAGCTCTGAGAGGTGCGCGAGAGGTGGTCTGGTTCGTTTCGCCGAAGACATCCTTGCAACTTTGAGCTCTTAAGAAATGTGCCCAAGGGTGAGTGGCCCGTGTCGCTTTAAACAACTATCTTCACAATTCGGGGCTCCGCGATGGTGCGGGCGCGGTGGTCCAGCTCGTTTCGCCTGAGACATCCTCGCAACTATGGGCTCCGAGAGGGAGGAGAAAAGAGGGAAGAGAGGTCAGACCCAAACGAAACACTTGATTACACTTCTGTTCTCGAACTGTACTCCAGGAGGGGTCTGGACGTCGCCTGAAACATCCTCGCGCTCCTGAGCTCCCAGATGTCGCACGCGAGGTGGTCCAGCCCGCTTCGTTTGAGACAACCTCGCCATTCGGGGCTCCGATATACTGCGCGCGAGTTGGTCCAGCCCGTTTCGCCTGAGACATCCGCGCAACTCCGGGCTCATTGAAGATGTGCGCGGGGTGGTCCAGCTCGTTTCGCCTGAAGCATCCTCGCAGCTCTGGGCTCTGAGAACATGTGCGCGAAGTGATCTGGCCCGTCTCCCTTGAAACATCCTCGTAACTCTCGGCTCCGAGATGCCGCGCCAGAGGTGGTCTGGCCCGTTTCGCCTGAGACATCCCGGGGAATCTTAGCTCCGAGAGGGAGGAGCGAGCAGCGAGGATGGGCCCGATCAGCAGAACCACTTGATTCCACTTCTGTTGTCGAATTGCGCTCTTGTAAAAATCTGTGCGCCCCTGGCCCGAACGGAGCCAGCGCCGAGGCGCGAGCAAGATTCCTTGAACATTGCACGAGCTTATTCGGGGGGGAGGATGCTGGAGCAAATCGTGGAGATGCCTTGAGCGAAAGCGCGGTGAACAGGGAGGAGGCAGGATGGGGGAGGAGGCATGGAGGAGGACAAAACTTCGAGATGCTGCGCGCGAGTTGGTCCAGCCCGTTTCGTCTGAGTCACCCTCGCAACTCTGACCTCTGAGACAATGTGCGCAATGGGGTCTGGCCCGTTGCGCTTGCGATATCCTCGCAATTCGGGGCTCCGAGATGCTGAGGGGGAGGTGTTCTGACCCGTTGCGCCTGAGACATCATTGGAACTCTGGGCTCCTTGAAGATGTGCGCGCGGTAGTCCAGCTCGTTTCGCCTGAAACATCCTCGCAGCTCTGGACTTTGAGAGCATGTGTGCGAGGTGGTCTGGTCCGTCTCGCTTGAAATATCCTCGCAGCTCTGGGGCTCCGAGACGCCGCGCCAGAGGTGGTCTGGCCCGTTTCGCTTGAGACGTCTTCGAAACTGGGACTCCGGGCTCCGAGAGGGGGGAAAGGGTCTGACCCAAACCAACCATGTGACTTCACACCTGTTGTCCACTTGTGCTCTGGGACGGGATCTGGGCACCGCCTGGGACATCCCCGCAGCTCTGAAATTCCAGACGTTGCGCGCGAGGTGGTCCAGTTCGTTTCGCCTGAGACATCATCGTACTTCGGGGCTCCGAAGTGCTGCGCGCGAGGTGATCTACCCCGTTTCGCTTGAAACATCCTGGAACCTCTTGACTCCGAAGGGATGCGAGGAGGAGCGAGGAGGGGTCGGTCAGACCCAAACGAACAATTTGACTCCACTTCTGTTGTCGAATTGTGCTATGGGAAAATTTTGGCGCCCCTGGCCCGCCGGAGGAGGTAGCTGGCGCCGAGGCGCGAACACGAATCCTTGGTATATTACTAGGGGGGAGCCATGCTGGAGCAAATCGTGGAGATGTCTCGAGCGAGAGCGCGGCGAGCAGGGAGGGAGGATAGAGGAGGACAAAGGAATGAGGAACGAGCTCCGAGATGCTGCGCGAAGGAATAATGTAGGAGGGAGACGGGACCAGGCTCAGCCGCGAGCTATTTGAGGGCATCCCTGACGAGGATGCCTCCTGGAAGCGGCATCGAGAGTGCGACGGCATCCCTGGCATGGCGGAGGAACCGAAGAAGAGGAGGGATGAGGAGGAAGAGGGGGAGGAGGAGGAGGAGGAGGAGGAGGAGGAGGAGGAGGAGGAGGAGGAGGAGGAGGAGGAGGAGGAGGAGGAGGAGGAGGAGGAGGAGGAGGATGCGGAGGATGCGGAGGAGGAGGAGGAGGAGGAGGAGGAGGAACAGGAGCAGCAGGGGGAGCAGGAGGAACAGGAGGAAAAGGAGCAGGAGGACACAGGACAAGGACATGGTCATTATTATCAAAAGGGGTACAACGTCTGAAGAACAGGAGGAGCAGGAGGAGGATAACTATTCACAGCGTGGAATCCCCCATCTGTGCATCTATCTTCCTGGGCCCTTCCTTCGTGAGTGCCTAGGCGCAAGAGACTGCGAGTATAAACGAGCTTGAGTATTGACAGAATGGTCGTGGGTCTCACGGTGAATGGGTTCGAGTGTGACTGCGTCTCAATTATATGAGTGGGCCTACGCGCATGAGTATCGATATGACTTAGCTTAGGATGAGAGTGTATGCGCGTCAGCGGCCTAACCATGACCGAACGGGACTGAGTCGACATGGCTCTAGTCGGGGCGAGTGGGGGGCGGAAGAGTGGGTGAATCGGGGCCCGTCCGGGGGTGGTGGGTGAGCCTGGGCCCATCGGGGGTGAGTGGGGTTGCAGAAGACTGGGGCAGAGTGGCGCTCGCTCCGGAAGAAGAACGTATATATATATGTAAAAAGAGAGAGAGAGAGAGAGAGAGAGAGAGAGAGAGAGAAAAAGAGAGAAACAAGGAGAGAGACAGAGAGAGAGAGAGCGAGAGAGAGAACGATAGAGAGAGAGAGAGAGACAGAGAGAGACAGAGAGACAGAGAGACAGAGAGAGGGAGGAGAGATCGAAAGCGAGAGAGAGAGAGAGAGAGAGAAAAAAAAAAAAAAAAAAAAAAAAAAAAAAAAAAAAAAAACCCAGGCTCCGGACGTTATGTTTTTCCATGGCGTCGACATCCCGAAGTCTAGACCTCCTCCCCAGTGTATTTTTCCCGGAAAGGGCGTGGACCCAGGGTTCTCTTTTAGTAGGTTTACCCCCGGTTTTGACTTGAAGAGGGCCGGATTTTCAGTCGAAAAAATGCGTTCCGTGCGTGCCCGCTCGAGGAAAGTGCGCCCCCCATCTCGGATCCTCGTTTAAAAAAAGGTCCGCAGACCCCCGTTTTCCATCGTAAAAAAAGGGCGCGGAGCGTTTTTCGCAGAATCCTGGAAAAATAACGGGGTCTGGAGCCCCGACCGCGACGCGGAAGAGCGTCCCGCGCGCAGGAATTCCGAGGATGTCTCGCGCGTGCCGCGTCCCGCGCGCAGGAATTTTGAGCATGTCTCGACTAGCTTAATTTGCCAGGATTTCTTAAAATTGTTGCAGGATGTCTCGAGCGAAACGCTTTTTTCCCGGAAAGGGCATAGGCCCAGGGTTCTCTTTTAGTATGTAAACTTGTCCCCGGTGCCCAACTTGAAGGAGGCCGGCGGATTCTTTCCCTGATAAATATCGAGGTCGAAGGAGGCCGGCGGATTAAAATTTGAGGATGTCTCAGGCGAAACGCTTGTTTTTGAAATCCCGATCGATAAATCACAGGGTGCGGGCCACCTCAGCACGACCACACCCCAGCACGACCACGCCCCAGCACGACCACGCCCCAGCACGACCACACCCCAGCACGACACGACACCCCAGCACGACCACACCCCAGCACGACCACACCCCAGCACGACCACACCCCAGCACGACCCGATCGATAAATCACAGGGTGCGGACCACCCCAGCACGACCACACCCCAGCACGACCCCACCCCAGCACGACCCCACCCCAGCACGACCACGCCCCAGCACGACCACACCCCAGCACGACCACACCCCAGCACGACCACACCCCAGCACGACCCCACCCCAGCACGACCCCACCCTAGCACGACCACACCCCAGCACGACCACACCCCAGCACGACCACACCCCAGCACGACCCCACCCCAGCACGACCCCACCACAGCACGACCACCCCCCAGCACGACCACACCCCAGCACGACCACACAGCACGACCCCACCCCAGCACAGACCACGCCCCAGCACGACCACACCCCAGCACACCCCAGCACGACCACGCCCCAGCACGACCACCC